AAGGGAGGGAGGGGAAGACCAGCAGGTGATAAGGGAGGGAGGGGGAGACCAGCAGGTGATAAGGGAGGGAGGGGGAGACCAGCAGGTGATAAGGGAGGGAGGGGGAGACCAGCAGAGCGAGGTCCCTCCTGCCATCGCTATATATTTTCGTAAGGGTTTCCGTACACGTTTCTATTATATAGTCGCTCTCACCGCGTCGCGTCTCGTCGCGGGAAGAAATGATCGTTTTGACGTAGATTATCAATATTTGCAGAAAACTACGTCCCGCAACGGGTCAGCGAAAGTTCACTACCAACTGATTGCTAGTTGCAGCATGTAGACAAGAGAGCATGCAAGCTCTTAGATGTTATTAGCTGTCGATGGAGACTATATCACACTGCCATCGCGATTCATCCATCATACCCGTCTAAAAACCCAGGTTTAAATTCGACAGCTACAGTTACTAATATCACAGCGACATATCAAGACGATGACGTCACGTCACGGCGACGACAGTAAGTGTAAAGCGAACTCAACTGTCTGCGTCGGCGAACACAACATTCGGACTTTTCCCGCCCAATTCCAACGTCACACGTTTTAGGTTCGATTCGCCTGAAGCCTTCTGAATTATCGACCCCACCTGTGGATGCATAAAATCTGATATTATATATAGGGTGTTACAATTATATTATACATTACATATTGTCTCATAGCAACAAGATGGTGATAGCTGAGATATATGTTTCTGCTACACTTATTATATATTATTTTGAGTAATCTGCATATTTAGTCTCTCAGTATAAAATGAATTAAAGCTGCATAAGTATACACTAATGCTAACGCTATTAATAACACATAATAATGTTTACAATATAATAATAATAATAATAATAATAGTAACAATAATAATGTTAATAACAATATTGTTAATAATATATTAATAATATAATGTTATATGTCATGTTATTATGTTCGCAAACGCACTTGCCTCAGTCGAGCCAGTAAATGCAACCTTATCTACGTCCATGTGTGCCGCCAGGGCGGCGCCAGCTGTCGGACCGTCACCAGGAACGACGTTAATGACGCCTGGAGGGAAACCAGCCTACACGAACAGACGAGAAACCCCGCTAGAATGAAACACATGGCTATACATATACATGATCTGTCGTGCTATCTAACCTCCCTCTCCACGCAAGCTCTATGTGTCGCGCGTGTTCCAGAACTGCATTACTCCGTTACAACTCGAGTTATGCAGCGACTCACTGCACCGCTATAAGGACAGTCATTAGCGCTCGTTAGATGCACAGCGGTTTCACTGTGCAAAGCACTCAACATCATACTCTCTAACGATTCCCGCGTGCTGCGCGTGACGTCACACTGACACGCGCCGCCGGTGACGTCACGTGTACGTCACAGGGGTTGTTATCGAGCGAATTATGCATTACACTTCGGCTGTTGACTCACTTTCACTCCCTCTCTCCTTTCTCTCTCTCTCTTTCGCTCTCTCTCTCTCTCTCTCTTCTCTCTCTCTTATCTATCTTATCTATCCTATCCTATCTAATCTTATAGTTCGATTATTAATCCTATTTATCTTGATCTAGTGCTATCTATCTATCTATCGTATCTACTCTATCTATCTATCTAATCTATCCTATCTATCTAGTCATATCTATCTATCTATCTTACTGACTCTATCTATTATCTATCGCTATCTTATCTATCTATGCTAACTCCTAGTTAGTTTATCTATCTATCTACTCTATCTACTCTATCTATCTATTATTTATCTAGTCTTTTTTTCTTGTATCTATGCCGATCCTAGTCATTTATCTATCTGATCCGTTAGTCGTATCTATCGATCGTATCGCTGATCTATTATCGATCTATCTATCGTTCTCGATGCGATCTAATCTGAGTACTATGCTAGTCGTATCTAGTCTGATTATTCTATCGTATATATCTTTGATCTATTATCTAGTCGGGGTATCTATATATCTTGATTCTTCGAGTTATTATCTATCTGGGTCTTAGTGTATGTATCTGTCGGTATGTGGTCTATCTATCATCCTATCTATCTATCTATCTATCTATCTGTGCTATCTGATCTATGCCTATTAGTCTCATTCTATCTATCTATCGTATCAGTATCTATTTTATGCTATCTATTTGCTCTATCGTGTCTATTATCGTATTATCCACGTGCTNCTTTCTCTCTCTGTTTCGTTCTTGCCTATATTCTAAGCTTCTCTATTCGTATTTCAAACACAAGACTGAACCAAGAGCGTAATATAAGTAACTTAGTTTCAACTTGAGCGCTATGATTGCGCGTTTACCCCATACGTGCGGCATTAACAAAATAATTAATTCTAAGGTTTTAACACTTGGGTAGACTACATGCGGCTACAGCTAGGTCACAAAAAGCGAACTCTGTGATTTGCTAAAATAAACAGCGCTATCTGGTGTCAGCTAGAATAAAAAAACGCCCTCTACCGTCAGCTAAGATAAACAGTGCCATCTGGCGTCAGATATAATAAACAGCCCTCTCTGTTGTCAGCTAAGTTAGACAGCGACCCCTGCCGTCAGCTAAGTTAGACAGCGACCCCTGCCGTCAGCTAAGTTAGACAGCGACCCCTGCCGTCAGCTAAGTTAGACAGCGACCTCTGCCGTGAGTTGCGCCACGTGTAGAGCGGTGAGGGGGGTCTGCTCGGCAGGCTTCATGACGATGGTGTTTCCCGCAGCGAGGGCGGGCCCCAGCTTCCAGGACTGCATGAGCAGCGGGAAGTTCCACGGAATGATCTGTCCACAGACTCCGACGGGCTCGTGGCGGGTGAAACAAAGGAAGTCTCCTTCTGTACGGGACAAGAAACGGGAAGCAGCTAGTGATGATGATGATGATGATGATGATGATGACGATGATGATGATGATGATGATGATGATGATGATGACGATGATGATGATGATGATGATGATGACGATGATGATGATGATGATGATGATGATAATGATGATGATGATGATGATGATGATGATGATGATGATGATGATGATGATGATAATGGTGATGATGATGATGATGATGATGGTGATGATGATGATGATGATGATGGTGATGATGATGATGATGATGTCACCTCTCTCTCTCTCTCTGCTCTCTCCTCTCTCTCTCTTCTCTTTGCCTCTGTGGGCTTTCTTTTCTGCTCTCTCGCTGCTCTCTTTTCTCTCTTTCCCCGCCTCTCTCTTATCTTTATCTTGGTATATCTCTCTCGTCTCTCTCTCTCTCTCTGCTGTCTCTTCTCCGCTCTTCTCTCTTTACTCCTCTCTCTGTCTTTCTTTACTCTCTCTCTCATCTCTCTCTGCATAATTCTCTGCTTCCTCTCTCTATTCTTTATCTTTGATCTCTTCCTCTTCTCTCTCGTCTCTCCTCTCTCTCTCCTCGCTTATCTTCTCTGTCTTTCTTCTTCTCTCTCACTTTCTCGCGCTTCTCGCTCTCTCTCTCCTCTCTCTCTCTCTTTTCTCTCCCGTCACTCTCTGTGTGCTTCTTCTCTCGTCTCACTTTCTCTGTTTTTCTTTTCCCCCTCTCTCTCTCTCTCTCGATCTCGTCCGTGCGTGGGCTGGCGTGGGCTGGTCTTTTTCTCTCTGGGGGCGTGGGGGGTGCGGGGGGTCCGTGGGGCGTCGTGGCGTGAGTGCGGGTGGTGGGGGTGATGGCGGTCGGTGGCGGGGTCGTGGCGGGTGGGCGGGTGGGTCGGCGGGGGTGCGTGGGCCGGGGGCGGGGTGGGGCCGGGCTGGATCTCGTGCGGGTGTGGCGGGCGGCTGGCGGTATCTGCTGGCTCGGTCGTCGGTGGCGGGGGTGGGGGCCGGGTGGCGTCTCTCTGCTGCGTGCGTGGCTTGGCGGTGTGGTGTGTGGTGGGTGCGCGGTGGTGCGGTGCGGGGTGGTCTTTAGGCTGCGTGCTGCTCTGCTGCTCGGCCGTGGGGGGGCGGGGCGGGCGGGCGGCGGGGCTGGGGGATCTGCGTATCGGCGTGGGAAAGGTGCGTCGTGTCTGTCGGTCTGGCGCTGGCGCTAGGAGGGCGGCGGCGTGCAGCAATGGACGGCCTCGCGCGCGGGGACGGTGATAACCCTGGCGGGAGGCGGGGCGGTTGGGCGAGCGAGGGAAGTTAGAAGTGAGTGATCTCGCCGTGCCGGCGGAGGTGAGGGGGGGGGGGGGTATTACCGAGGATGGCTGATAAGGAACCATGGGCAAGGTCATACCATCGGTAAGTGTCACACCGCAGCCAGGTATAGGCTGCTTCTCTCTCTTCTCTCATTCTCTCTCGCTCCTCTCCTCTCTCTCTCGTTCTCTTCTCTCTCTTCCCTCTCTTTCTCTCTCTCTCTCTCTCTCTCTTCTCTCTCTTTCTGCCCTCTCTCTCTCTCTCTCTCTTTCATCCCTCTTCTCTCTCTCTCTCTTTTCTTCGTCTCTCTCGTCTCTCACACACTCTCTCTCTCTCTCTCGCTCTCTCTCGTCTGCTTCTCTCTCCTCTCTCTCTTGCTCTCTCTCTCCGCGATCTCTTTGCTCCCCTGCTCTGCTGCGTGCCTCTCTTTCGCGTCTCTCTCTCTCAACTCTGCTCTTCTCTGCCTCGTCTCTCTCCCTCTCTCTCTCTCTCTCTCTCGGTTTCTCTCGTCTCTCTCACACAGCCTCTCTCTTCTCTCTCGGCTCGTGCTCTGGCGTCTTGCTTGTCACACTCGTCTCGGTGCTGCTCTCTTTCTCTCTCTCTCTCTCTCACGACTCTCTCTTCTGCTTCTCGCTCTCTCTCCTCTTGGCTCGTCTTCTCTCTGTCTCTGTGGCTTGTTATTGTGGCGCGGCGCGTCTATCCGGCTTATATAATAAGTATGATATGAGTATAGTATATACGTAGGTATGAGTATGATCCAGCAGTAGCATATATATGTATGATATGTTAGGTTAGTGGCAGTCTGTGTAGGATAGCACAGCGTGGCGTCATCATTCATGGCATCATTCATCATTTGCGTCATCGATATCATTCATCAGTCATCAGTCATCAGTCATCATGTCATGGCTCGATCAGTCGGTCATCATCATTCATCACTAGCTGCTTCCCGTTTCTGATCCCGTTACAGAAGGAGACTTTCTTTGTTTCACCCGCCACGAAGGCCCGTCGGAAATGTTGCGACAGGATCAGTTCCGTGGGAATCCCACTGCTCACTGCAGTCTGGGAAGCTGGGGTGCGCGGCCCTGCGCTGCGGGCAACACGATCGTTCATGAAGGCCTGCCGAGCAGCGCCCCTCACCGCCTACACGGGCGCAACTCACGGCAGACGGTCGCTGTCTAACTGTATCTGACGGCAGGGGTCGCGTTGGTCTAACTAGGATGACAAGCAGGGGTCGCTGGTCTAACTTAGCTTGACGGCAGGGGTTCGCATGTCTAACTTCGAGCTGACGGCGAGGGGTCGCTGTCTACGTTAGGCTGACGGCAAGGGGTCGCTGTCTAGCTTTAGCTGGACGGCAGGGTCGCTGTGCTACTTAGCCTGACAACAGAGAGGGGCTGTTTATTTTATCTGACGCCAGATGGCGATGTTTATCTTTAAGGCTGACGGTAGAGGGCGTGTTTTTATTCTAGCTGGACAACCAGGATAGCGGCTGTTTATTTAAGCAAAATCACAGAGTTCGCTTTTGTGACCTGAGCTGTAGCCGGGCGATTAGTACTATCCCAAGCTGTTAAAACCTTAGAATTAATTATTTTGTTAAGGCCGCACGTATGCGGGGTAAACGCGCAGATCATAGCGCTCAAGTTGAAACTAAGTTACTTATATTACGCTCTTAGCGTTCGAGTCTGGTGTTTGAAATCACGAATAGAGGCTTAGAATGATAGGCCAAAGAAGCGAGAACAGGAGAGAAGAGAGGAGAATGAGAAGAGAGAGGATAGGAGAGAATTAGAGGATTAAAGTACTATATATATATATATATACTTATAGAGAGAGAGAGAGAGAGAGAGTGACGAGAGAGGAGAGGAGAGAGAGAGAGATGAGAGAGAGAAAGGAGAGAGGAGAGAGGTGGATTAGATAGAGGTAGTAGACAGGATTAGATAAATGAGTTAGATAATAGAGTCTCACGTGATAGGATGGTATAGATAGATAGATAGATAGATAGATAGATAGATAGTAGATAGATAGATAGATAGATAGGATAGGGATAGGATTGAGATAGTAGATAGATAGATAGGACAGACAGATAGGATAGAATAGGATAGATAGATACGATAGATAGTATATAGGAGTGATAGATAGATAGGATAGATAGATAGATAGATTAGATAGATAGATAGATAGAGTAGATGAATAGATAGGATAAATGGATAGATAAATAGATAGATAGATAAATAGGATAGATAGTAGATAGATAGATAGAGGTTAGTAGATCAGATAGATAGATAGGATAGAGTAGATAGTAGATAGATGTAGATAGATAGAATAGAGTAGATGGAATAGTGATAGAGAGAGAGAAAGAGAGAGGAGAGAGAGCGAAAAGAGAGAGAGAGAAAGGACGAGAGGAAGTGAAAGTGAGTCAAACAGCCGAAGTTAATGCATAAGTTGGCTCGATAACAACCCTGTGACGTACACGTGGACGTCAACCGGCGGACGCGTGTCAGTGTGTGAGCGTCACGCCGCAGCACGCGAATCGGGTTAGAGAGTACTGATGTTGAGTGCTTCTGCCACAAAGTTTGAACCGGCTGTGCATCTAACGAAGCGCTAATGACTGTTCCTTAGCGGTCTTGCAGTTGAGTCGCTGCATGAACTCGAGTTGTAACGGAGTAATGAGTCTTGAAGACACGCGCGAGCACATGGAGCGTTGCGTGGAGAGGGAGGTTTAGTAGCACGAACAATCAGTGTATATGCTTAGCCATGTGTTTCATGTCTAGCGGGGTGTTCTCGTCTGTTCGTGATAGGCTGGT